CATGATTTACTGAGGAGATGATGAGAAGTTAGAAGAATGTCGATTTTGTAAGAAGCCACGATTCAAACCGCAAGGTCGAGGGCGCAATAGGGTACCGTACCAAAGGATGTGGTACCTACCAATCACAGACATATTGAACAGATTGTACCAATCTGAGGAGACTGCTGGAGGGATGAGATGGCACGCCGAGCATACTCAGACGGATGGAGAGATGACTCATCCATCAGATGCAAGAGCCTGGAAACATTTTAGCAATGTACATCCACATTTCGCTAGCAATAGCCGGAATGTGTATCTTGGATTATGCACTGATGGATTTAGTCCATTTGGAATGTCTGGGAGACAACATTCATTGTGGCCGGTCTTTCTTACACCTATAACCTGCCACCGGAGATGTGCATGCGACGAGAGTTTCTATTCATGAGCATATTAATACCTGGTCCAAAACATCCAAAAAGATCTCTCGACGTTATTCTACAACCACTGATAAAAGAGTTGAAAGATTTGTGGTCAACAGGGGTGAGGACATATGATTGTTCAACGAAAACAAACTTTACGATGCGAGCGATGCTTTTGTGGACCATAAGTGACATTCCTGCATATGGTATGTTGTCTGGGTGGACTACACATCGGAGATTAGCTTGTCCATATTGTAATGGAATGACAGATGCGTTTCAGTTGAAGCATGGTAGGAAGACTAGTTGATCCTACAGAAGCGTTTCAGTTGAAGCATGGTAGGAAGACTAGTTGATCCTACACAATGAAATTGAGGAACCTGAAGCAGAAATTGATGACATCCTCCTCATTGATCCGCATAATCGTGAATACGAAGATATCCCTGATCACTCAACGGACGACGGTGTTGAGGACGAGTTTGCCGAAAATGATGATGTTTCTACGGATTATGAGAATGTATCCTAATGAATTATGTATGTTTTATAAGTTTGTTTAATCACAAAAAACAGTTTCAATTATGTATGTTTTATAAGTTTGCTTAATAACAAAAAATGAGTTAAGGAAGTTGTGGTTTGGGATTTAGGTGTAGAAGAGGTTAGGAGTTAAGAAAGTTGTGGTTTGGGGTTTGGGGTTTCGAGTTCAGGGTTTTACAAACCATTTCCGCGTAAAGCCCTAGTAAGAGAAAACACGGGCATAGCTATTTCCTCGTAAGGTCCTAGTAACATTAGTACTAGGACTTTACGAGGAAAAAAACGCAGGCATAGCTACTTCCTCGTAAAGACATTTCCTCGTAAAGTCCTAGTAAAGGTGTTACTCGGACCTTACGAGGAAATAAAAACATGGGCATAGCTGTTTCCTCGTGAAGCCCTAGTAACATTACTAGGGCCTTACGAGGAAACAAAATTCCTTATATATACACGAGCAATCCGATTTCTCACTCATAGTAACCTCCTCTCCAAATTCTCTTAAGGTACTCTCTATTTCCTAGTTAGGTGATTAGATTAGGAAATTTAGATTAGGTGGTTAGATTAGGGAATTTAGATTAGGTGGTTAGTTTAGGAAATTTAGATTAGGTGGTTAGTTTAGGGAATTTAGATTAGGTTGGTTTAACTGTTTTTAAAAATTATACGAGAATTAATGTTTTCTGTTTTTTTTTTTTTAAAGTTAGATGGTTAGAAAAAGCAAAGTTGCTGCTGCTCAGGCCAGGAGGCCTCTTGATCAGGGGATTCACTATGGAGATCTATTCGGGCCCGGTTCATCTTCGTCAGCTCCCGGTGGTTCATCTTCGGGAGTTCCCGAGACTCAGGGAGGTTCTACGGCATCCCGGTCTCAGCAGCCACCTCCTCCTCCTCCACTGGTCGGGATTCATCCTGATTTGCAGGTGCCGCCGAACGCACCATTTGCGGTGTACACGGTGGAGGATATTTTGGCCCTTCCAGGCAGAGAAGGGCTGCCAGAGTTAGATCATATCCGACGGGACGGCCAAAACGTATTATGGTATGTTTTAATTTTTAAAAAGTTTTCTTAATTTATTTCTTAATTAACAAAATATTTACAAATTAATTAATCTAATTAATGATTTATTTTCTCTTTCCAGGTTTGGTCTTGACAATTGTGTCGGATCTAGCGTCACGGACTGTATCAAGGGATACTTTCCCGATGCAGCTCAAAACTGGAAGATGACGGCGAGCCACACAAAAAAGACGTGGTTTAAATCGTTCACTGTAAGTTTAGTAAATCAACTTAATTTATTTTTAATCATTTAAAATTATGAATATTATTGAACTAATCCGTCTCTTATTTGTTTTGGTTACAGCAAAAATATCGTTGGTCTATTGGGATTCACTAGTGGGTGAAGTCAGAGTTCGAGGCCAAGGCAAAAGCACGATTGTGCGACATGGTCTACAACTGGAAGGGCGACTTTCAGGTATAGATTTATAAATTATAATATATGTATAGTTTTAAAAATATATATTATTGACTTTAATTCTAATTATTTTAAATCAGGTGGACGGTTACGAGCGCGGGAAACCCGATTGCCTCACAACCACGGTGTGGGATGGCCTCGTCAGCTATTGGGCGTTGCCGGACTCGATCAGAACCTCCCAGACAAACTTCGGGAACCGCATGGCCACAGACGAGTATGGTAACACGAAGATGCTTCACACCACGGGCCAAAAACCTCACGGGGGAGTTCGTCTAAACATGGTAAGATGATTTTTTATAACTATTTAATTTTTACTTTATTTGAATATTCTAATATTCTAAATTAATATTTAATTTTTAAAAAAAAAATAGGCTAAAGAGACAGGAGTTCTTCCATCTCTGAAAGCCGTTTACGAGCGGACCCACCGGAAAAAGGGTGGGCAGTTTGTAGATCCTGCTTCCGAGCGGATCTACAACGAGGTTGCTGCCCGAGTTGACGAACGCCAGACCCAGCTGTCTCAGCAGTATGGGGCCCCAGTCGTATTATCCACTCTTGAAGTGGATAAGATTTACGAGGAGGTAAATAATTTGTTTTAATATTAATTTTTATTATTTATTTATATTTTTCCTTACGTTATTAATATTTTTAGTGGGGGTTATTGGTTTTGATATTTTGGTAGATTTATAAATATAAATGGATTTGGAAATCTTTGATTCATATACTGATTTCAAATCAAATAACTGGATTTCAGATGGATTTTAAAATCAAATTGGTAGATTTTTATAAATCAGTCTAATGGATTTACGAGAATTGTGACCTACTTGTGAAGATGCAAGCGGGAGAACCTTTTCCCATGTGAAAGAGATTTATTGGTAGAGATCTAAGCATGTTACATTTAGAGTTGATAAGAATGTGAATCAGAACGTTAAGCTAAAAATAGCTTGCTATTCGCAAACAAATCTAGTGCTTGGATATTCAAGTTCGTATGTTTTTTTGGTGCCACATGTATCAACTCATCTGCTAAACTTGGTACTCTGATTCTTTGAAAGTTTTTTCCGGAGTAACACGATTAAAACTAATTTCACATGCTACACTTGCTACTCTATTTTTTAATGATTTTTTTATAAAGTCTTGAGGAAAATGACTGAGTAAATGTAATTAATGTTAAGGATGAAATTTAGTTCTAGGTGGTGTGGTTCTTTGCAAAAACTGAAAATGTTTTGATTATAGACCTAAAGAAAACAATAATACAAATCTAACAAAATAACAAGGTTTACCTCAGTATTTTCTCCTTTGTATTTTGATCTTAAAAATCCATGGAAATCCAATTTGAAATCAAATCCATATACAAATCCTTGTTATTGAATAACACATGATTTCAAAATCTAATTTACAATTATAGAACCAATAACACTATATTTGGATATAGATTTTAAAATCATAAAACCAATAACACTAGATTTAATATGAATTTTTAAATCCATTAAAATATACAAACCAATAACACCCTCTTAATGTTTTACTAACGGTATTAAAAAAAATTTAAAAATATTTTTAGTTACAGTCAGTAAAACATTAAACCCTAAATCTTAAATCTATGGAAACCTTCGATTAATCTAAAATTTTAGGGTTTAAGATTAATTCAAAGATTAAAGATTTATTTATGGGTTTAGGGTTTATGATTTAGATTTAAGGTTTAATGTTTTGCTAACGGTATTAAAAATATTTTTTAAAAAAGTTTTGTGTTTGTAATTACTATTATTTTTTATTTATTTTTATCTTTTAATTTTAAAAATATAATATAATTCGATAATATTTTGTTTCTTTTTAAAAAGATACTAAATATGAAATAATGAATTTTATTAGTTGATGAAACATAATATAACTTATAATTTCATCCTAAAAAATAAATTTAATAAATTTTTAATTTATTTTATCTATCTTAACATGATATTAAAGTCTGTTCCATATACTCCAACTCGATTCACATTGATTTACTCGTTGATGAAACATAATCCCCCTATATATTAAAAGAGAAGTCACTTTGACACGTGGCATTCACACGGCCCTTCTCAGAAGAATTCTAGCAATTCTATTGGTTGATTTTTTACAATTTATTTTTTTGATTTATTTTTACCATCGACACTACTAAAAGGGAAATCCATTAAATACTCTTTAAATATTTTAGATGTCAGAGAAACAAAATTAATTGACAAGATATTTTCACTTTTAAAATCATGCATTTAAAACAAAATTAATTGATAAGATATTTTCTCTCTAAAACCAATATTTTCTAACGAGATGTTCTCCTTTAGCTTTATCAACAAGATATTCCAAAAATAATATTACCTTAAAAGTATAAGATTTATTGAGAATTTATTATAGAATATGTGGACATTAATATAATCTATACATTTTATGAATAAAAAATAAAAGAGAATTTATTTAAACAAATCACTGGAGAGTATGATCAAATCTGCAATGCTCTCCTTCCACAAGGTCTCAACCCACTCTCTGTTCCGCCAAAATAGCTCGCACACGACCATGTGATTTTGTGCCATTTTACTCATAACTATCATTTATATTACATTATGTAGTTTGATTAATTAACATTCCCATGGTTGGTGGTTGGATCAGGTACATGGTGCAGCTTCTGAATCTTGTTGTCCACAAGCTCGCAGTGCATGCGCTCCATAACTTGGGTTTTGGGGTAAATGCGAACACATCCTTAACTCGATTATATGATAAACAGTTGCCTCAATTTTGGAAGATAACACACACTTATACTCACACTCATTAATCAAGTGTTTTAGACGCTTGAGAGATATTTTGTTTACATCAACTATATGTTATGGAACTTGATTGATTAAGTCTTTTTTTTTGTCTCAGGGTTCTTGTTCAAGAATATGGCAACGTGATTCCTATTGGAAATCTCACCCGTCTTCTCCAAGGTGAACCATATTTTACATAACACTGATTGTTTGTTTCTCTGTCTCCATTACATCTAGAAATCTAAACAAATTTGTTTATTTTGTTTGCAGCAATGAGTATCCCCTCTTTGTACCATCCCATGATTACTACTCCAATGAAGGGAAAAGTTCATGGACGGGTAGAGACACAACCAATTTTGGTGTCACTTCACTGAAATCAGATGGAAGTCTAGAAGAAGATTATCATGACCTCGACGTTGTCAACCTTTCCTCTTCCTCTCCTCACTCTGTCGAAACGTTCAGAAATGTGCAGAGAGGGATCGCACATCTCAAGCAAAGCGTGGCTCACTTAACAGTGTATGGATACAGTTCCTTGTCCATGGAAGTTCCTTCTGGAGCCTCGAATTTTGAAGCATTTGCAAAGTTGCTGACCTCATTATCTTCAATCAAGGAAGTTCAGTCCGCTCTTTCTCTTGGTTTGTCAAGGTAAAAGCTTCGAAATTTTGATATGACTATTATATATGTTAACTTGTATTTAGACATCTCTAATGTTTTTAATAGTTCCAACAAACAAAAACACGAGCCAAACAAATCAGTGTGGAATTTGAACTCCTCAAGTTCCAGCACCATGCTGAACAGCTCTCATATTCAGCCAACGTCGGTATGACTTTTGGTTCTCGACCTTCACCAACCTTTGAATTCAATAGTAACATTTGGATGTAGTTCTTATCTTCTTATATGTGTCTTGTAGTGGAACAACAATAGCTATTATAATGTTCCAAATCGAGATCCTAGCTCTATTGGCGAGTGGAATTTGGTTGACTATCCTCATTTTTCACATCAAGCTATGAAGTTCAATTATCCCAACGACTATTGAACATGTCAAGGTATACTAACTCTACTTGTTTTATTATTCATAACTATGATATGATAAAATTTATATTGTACACCCAAAGATCCAACACATTAGAAAAACACATCTTAGCTGGAATAGTCGATATTGTTCATACCCAAAGGCATCCTCAATTCTAGGCATGTCCTTGAATAACATAAATGGTGTATATTATGTAATTCTTGATACCTTATGTTGTAATTATTATTGGGATAATGGGATTTGATTTATTGGTTTAATTCTGGCTAGCATTATTATTTTTTTGTTTAATCATGTGTATATTTATACTTAACTGTTTGTCTGCTTTCTTTTGCTCTGAATCTTGAAGCTTTTATTTTTATCCAAATGTCGACGAATCAGAGTTGATATATTATAGTAGCAATTTATTTAGCAATGCTTCACTCGTTTTTCTTCAAGAGCCAAGTGGAGTAAATATTGCGGGTATATACATATTGTACAGTTGCTAACAAAATTTATGATCAAATCGTGCGGGTATATACATATTGTACAGTTGCTAACAAAATTTGACAATTTTTTGCAGGTTTCTATGGGATATTTTAATTCATAACTGTTCTTCTTATTTTATATTACTTATGGGTTATATTTAAAATTTTTATTACATTTTCTTTGCAGGTTTCTATGGGATTGTGTTATATATTTCTATAGATTTACAATATATCAAAATCAAAAATATTTATTATTCTTTAATTTTATACTCATATTATGGTATTAGGAAAGATATACCTTGTTGGTAAAAAAATTTAATTAGTTAATCCGTTTATTAATAACTTGCCCTATTTTGTTATCAATTACTTGCGCAAGTTGATATGTTGATTACCTTATTTTGCCATCAATTACTTGTCTTAAATGGTATGTCAATTATTGCAAATTTATGACAGTCAATTTTTAATATCTTTCTTTAAATTGCTTCATGGCTTATTATGAATTTTTTCCAATTTTTTAATATATTTCTTTAAATTGCTTCATGTCTTATTTTAAATTAATATAATTTGCACAAGAAAACTAATATTTAATTCAAATCAGCTTATGATATTGTAGATCTAATAACTTTCTTTATTCAGTTTAAATATTTATTATAAAAAATTAATATTTTCTGCTTTGCCTTCTAAATCGGTATTACACTTTATAATTGCTTAGATTTTATAGTTACAATAGCAAATGAGATGAACTATTTCTCTTGCAGGTCATGATGTTGCTGTCCTTAGGTGATATTTCCTTGTGGTGATTTTTCAGGAACTCATTTGTCCAAAAGAAAAAACCAAGAATATCATGACAGTAACCTTGGAGGATCAACACTCTGTCAACAAAAAAACATTCCCACAAAAAAACCAAGGGAGAGTGATCTCGAATTTTTTAAAAAAATATTTATTTGTGAATAGTTTCCAGGAACAACACATTTAGTCTTTTGTCACTATCCGCATTATTCATTATTATTTATTTAAATAAAAACAGATTGAGTCTTTTCTTGTGCTCATGACAATTTTTAAAATAATTGCATTGTAATAACACTCATGTTTTAGTAATAATCTGCTGGAAGAGATGAAATTATCTAATTTTCGTTCTAATGACATGTTATTATTTAGTCAATGTATTCATTATTATTTTTTTAGTTATATTTTTATTAGATTATTTTTTTCAGGTCTCAATATATAATAAGGTCATTTTTATAGTTATTATTATCGTCATTTAACAATTATATTATTACTTGTTTATTATTTAATTCTCACAGCTTGCCTTGAATGAAAAATATGTCCACATTTACCACATTAATGATTACCAATTAATGATGATTACAACATCACGTAACATACTCTCTCTGTTCCTAAATGATTGATGTTCTGGAAAAAAATCAAATTTCAAAAAGATTGATTTTTTACCTTTTCAATGTATGGTTTAATGAAAAATTGTAATTTTCAAAAAAAAATAATGGTGTTTATTGAATTTATATTGGCTAAAAGCTATGGAAAAATTTTATTCATAAAAAACAATGCATTTACAATCAACATTTATGAGTTTTCTTAATATATGTGAAAAGTCTAAAACATCAATTTTTAAAAACAGAGGGAGTATTGTATAAATTTAATTCACAAGATTGATTGGTAATAATTAAGAATGATTTATGTTAACGCATTAAATTCAGAACATCTATATAGCAATAAAAAGAATGCAATAAATAATACGAATATATTATTTGATACTAACTTATCGTTCAACCATATCAACACTTATATATATATCTTACATTTTCTTATGGTTTACATTTTAAGTTGCTTATTTTCTTCAAAGCTTAATCTAATGAC